GTCGTGATCTCAGGGTCCTGAGATCGAGCCCCACGTTGCGCTCTGCACTTGGTATGGAGCCTGCTTAAGAGTCTCTCTCCCTCTCTCTCCGCCCCTCCCCCCCCACTCGCGCGCACGCACACACACTCTCTCAAAAAAACCCACTTTTTGTCCAGAAAATAATTGCCATAACTTTTGAAATGAAATGCTGCATTAAAAAATTATAGAAGTGAAGGACATTTTTTGCCTTCAACATTTATTTGTTGAGTATTTGCTAGATTTCTGGCCTTCTATTGATTTTTAGCAGTTCAGAGATCTAAGATATAGCCCCAGCCTTCAAGAATTCACAGCCAGTGGAAAATGAATAACAATCAGGGACGGCAGGGGTTGGTTTATGTTTTCTGTAAAGGGCCAGATAGCAAATATTTTAGGCTTTGTGGGCCATATGGTTTCTTTTGCAATTATTCAACCCTGGTGTCATAGCATGAAAGCAGCCATAGATAATCTGTGAACAAATGAGCGTGGCTATGTTCCAATGCAATTTTTATTTACAAAAATAGGCACCAGCCCTGTACTGTAATTTGCTGATGTCTGAAGTATGGTATAGTGAGGTATAAGACCTATGGTAGAAAGACACCCAGTGTGGTGTGTTTGATAGGAGAAGAGGACACAGAAATCTCAAGGAAGAGGGGACTTCCAAGCTGAGTCTCAAGAGACAAGGTGTTATCCAGGAGAAGCAGCATGGAGGGCCCATGGATTCATTAATTCATGCAAAGTATCAGCAGAGGGAGAGCTGAGAGCCCAGGTAAGTGTTAAGTGGGTACCTTATGAAAATGTAATCATTCAGATCCTTGCCAATAGCATCTTTCTAAGTAGTATTGGAAATTGTAGCTACCAGAATTCTGTGATTTACTTCACATGGGTAGCTTCTTTTCTTTTCTTTTTTTTTTTAAGATTTTATTTTTAAGTAACCTCTACACCCAACGTGGAGCTTGAACCTACAACCCTGAGATCAAGAGTTGCACAGTCCACTGACTGAGCCAGCCAGACGCCCCACATGGGCAACTTCTTAACATCTATAAATATGAAGAATTAAATCATGGTTATATATATTAAAATGGAAGCAGACCCAAAATTGCCTTGTCTTTAGAGAAAATAAGATGTTTTGGTTCATTTATTTCACATTTTTGAGACCATGCTAAACTAGTCCCCCAGCTCACAAAGAAGACCTACTTGAAAAAATGATGGGTGCAACCATCTCAGTATTGGATACCAGAGTACTACATTTTGAATTTATTAATTTTTATCAAAATATTGCATACAATAGTATACACATAGGAAAATACACATATTGGCAGGGTACAGCTCAATGATTTTCACAAACTAAATACAGTCATGTTACCACGAGGCTACATTTTAATTGTCCAGCATTACTAATTCAAGATTCTTGGACTGCTTTTCAAACTTAATAATTTTTCTTTTTTTTTTTTTTTTAAGATTTTATTCATTTGACAGAGAGACACAGCAAGAGAGGGAACACAAGCAGGGGGAGCGGGAGAGGGAAAAGCAGGCTTCCCGTGGAGCAAGGAGCCTGATGCAAGGCTCGATCCCAGGACCCTGGGATCATGACCTGAGCCGAAGGCAGATGCTTAACAACTGAGCCACCCAGGCACCCCAGACTTAATTATTTTTCATCTCTGAGCTTTCAGTCAGTTCTTTGGCTTAACATCCTTACTGCTAACAATTTATTTTGTGTAAGGAACCGAGTGGGCACCTACAACCTGTGAACTTTTTTCTCCTAGGCTTGTTTAGCGTTCAGCTTTCTTTTGTTGACCACTGCAGCCCAGGCTTCTAATTTCCAGAAAATGCCCCTTACTCCAAAATCATCCATTTCTCCTCTGAGTCTCTCCACCTCCAGTAATGCTTTCAAACTGAAGGTAGCAACTCAGTGGGTCTTCAAATAAATTGAGTGAGTTGGACTTGTGACCAATATTTAAAAAGAGCCTGGTGGAGGGACAAAAAAAGAGGGAAAGAGAAAGAAATGGAAGAGTGCGTTGTAAGCATTATAAGCTTCACTGTTTTGTGAAACGTTGTATTTAGTTTTTCATTTATATAAAATTTATTTTTTACTATAGGTCATGGTCTTAAAAGTTTAAAAAACATCATAAATCTCGTTTCAGTAATTTAAAAATACTACTTAACATTAACGTCAGACTAACTGTGATAGTCATAGACCTTGTTTAAATCAATAAAATGGAAATGTATTGGCTGAAGGAAGTCTTTTCTATCTCTTGGAGGAACACTCCATCTCATTTTAAGATTCCAGTGTGACTCAGAGATGTTACAGGAAAAGAGTTACAGGCAGATATCCCTCATGAATGTACACACAACAGTCCTTTACCAAATGTAGCAAACTGAATCCAGCAGTATAGAAAAAGGATAACATGTCTTGACCAATTGAAGGTTATGCCAGGAATGCAAAGTAGGGGTTGGAGTAATATTAAAAAACCAGTTTAATTCATTATATTAATCGAATAAAGTAGAAAAACTTTGATCATCCTTAACAGGTACAGAAAAGCATTTGGGAAAAATTAAACTCTCCTTCATTAAAAAAAATTACAGCAAACTAGGAAAGAACTTCCTTACTGAGAAAGGGCATATTCAAAAACCCTATGGCTAAGACACCTATAACATTCAGAACAAAGCAAGGCCATCTCCTCTCAACCACTGGTATTTAACATTGTATTTGGGGTCCTAGCCAGCTTCTAGCCTGCAGGAAGGCCAGAAAAAGAAACAAAAGGCATAAAGATCGGAAAGAAGTAAAACTGTTTGCAGATAATGTGATCGAGTATGTCAAATGGCTAAAATTGTAAAGCCTCATATTATCAAATGTTGATAATGGTATAGAGCAACTAGTACTCTGATACACTGCAGTTGGGTGTGTAAGATGGTACAATCACTGTGGAAAATAGGTTTTTTATAGCTAAACCTTACACAGAAAGATTTGTACCTGAATGCTCGTAGCAGCTTTATATATAATAGACCAAAATTGGAAATAACCCCAATGTCCGTCAGTGGGTGAATGGGTAAACAAATTGTGATATGTCTATGCAATAGAACATTATTCAGCAAAAAAGAGGAACAAACAACTGATAAATGCAAAGCATAGATAAATCTCAAAACATTGCTATAAGCAAAAGAATCCTTACACAAAAGTGTTATGTATTATATGATTCCATTTATATAAAATCCTAGAACAGGAAAAAAAAAAAAATCTTTCCGGGGACAAGAAGCATATCAGCCCCTGCTTGGGACCAGGAGTGATGTATTGACTTCAGAGGAGCATAAGAGAACTTTTCTGGGATTTTAAAATGTTCTGTATCTTGTCCTTGGTGGTAGTTACTAGAATTTTTGCACTGTGAAAACTCATTGTGTCTTATTGTATGTAAATTATACCTCAATAAAGTAGAGGTTTTTTTTAAAGAGATTTAGACATTTAATTTAAAAACAAATAGACAAAATCACTGTTAGAAAAAAAAGAACTCTACAGATTAAAAAATTCCTTTGGGATGATGAACAAATTCTGGAAATAGATGAAGGTGATGGTTGCAGAACAGTGTGAATGCACTTAATGCTATAGAACTCTACACTTAAAAATGGTTAATATGGTAAGTAAATTTTATGTCTATTTTATCACATTTGAAAAAAAAGGTTAAGAAAAAGAAAATGGCTATGAAAACAAACCAAAAAAATCTTTCAGGAATTAGAAGAATATATAGGGGGTTTTTTGTTTGTTTTTTGTTTTTTTAATTTTCACATGGCATGTGATTTGTGCCCCTCAAAAATATCTTTTAAAGGATTAAGGCAGGGTCTAAGATATTACAAGCTTGTGTAATTTCTTTGATCAAAGGTAAAAATGCTTAATCTGATTATAAATGAGAAGTGTCTAATATGTTGGCCTCTCTTCATTAAACACAGCAAAGATCAGGATTCTGGCCTTGAAGCATTTATGCTTTGAGCGTCATATAAACTAGAAGTATTACTTGGCCAAGTGTTACTTCCTGTAATTCAGAATATCCCAGCAATTGTATTTTTAGAACTGAATTTAGATGGAAAGCTGTTTCTCTTAAACTGCTCTGCCCTTTTAGTCTCTAGTTAGTGATTGCCTCCTGATATATTTTTTAAGATTTTATTTATTCATTTGAGAGAGAGAGCACGAGCAGGGGGAAGAGGCAGAGGGAGAGGGAGAAGCTAGATTCCCCACTGAGCTGGGAGCTGGACTCAGGATCCATCCCAGGACCCTGAGATCATGACCTAAGCTGAAGGCAGATGCTTAACTATCTGAGCCACCCAGGTGCCCCCCTCCTGATATTTTTTAAGCTAAAAGGTTTGTACTCAGTTTGCTCTTTATTTGCAATTTCTAAATCAACCTAGGTCTAAAACTAGATGAATTTGGTTAAAATTATTTTCATTACTTACTGTTCTTCATTTGCCTATCTTCATCAGAGTAAAACTTACTGTAGTTTCTTGATGATATTGGCACGAATTTCTCAGCCAGAAAGGAGGATCTGAGGATGATACTGCTTGGGAATATGACTGCTTTCTTGCTTGGTGATTTGCTTCCACTTCCAGGTTTTGAGAATAATAGGCAGTTAAAAGATCTGCATGCCAGGTGCCTGGGTGGCACTGTCAATTAAGAGTCTGCCTTCAGCTCAGGTCATGATCCCAGGGTCCTGGGATGGAGCCCCACATCAGGCTCCCTGCCCAGCGGGGAGACTGCTTCCCCCTCTTCTCCTCCCTCTGCCTGCTGCTCCCCCTGCTTGTGCTCTCTCTCTCTGTGTCAAATAAGTAAAATCTTAAAAAAAAAAAATCTGCATGCCAAAAGGAGTTTATGATTGGCTGGATTGTAATATAGGAAGTAGATGTCTTTGCAGAGCTTGAAATACAGAAGAATGGGAGCATCTATGTGAAAATGTTTCAAGGAGGAAAACATTTTCTCTTTACGGTTCATTCTGCTCTAGGTAAACACCACCAAGTGAGTGAAACACAGAATGTGATTGCATCAGACAAAGCAGCAGAAATACCAGTTGCCCATGAACATGAGCACAACCATGACCACACACAGCTGCATGCCTATATTGGTGTTTCCCTCGTGCTGGGCTTCGTTTTCATGTTGCTGGTAGACCAGATTGGCAGCTCCCATGTGCATTCTACTGATGGTAAGTGGTTCCAAGGCTTTCTGGGCAGTGCAATAAATTTACAGCTTAGAAAGTCACAGATGATTGAATAATTCAGCATGTATCAATAGCCTTCTTTAGTGCCAAAAACTCTTGTCTTCCTTGGGTTCTAGTGAACATTTTATTCAGTTGGGGGAGCTGGTGAGTTGTGACATGTGGCACAAGAGAGTGCTTATTGGGTTATTACCATGCTTACCTTAAAGCTGTCTCATTTGGTTGAGAGTCTGGGGCAGAAATTCTTAACCTTTTTTGTGCCGTGGAGCCCTTAGGCATTCTGAAGCCTGTGGACCTTTTATTGGAATCATGTTTTTAAATACGTAAACCGTAACGCATAGGATTACAGAGAATACCCAATTATATTGAAATATAGTTCCAAAACATTAAAAACAAATTTATCGTGTAGTAATATATGTCTTCTTTATTGATGCATTAATTAACCAGATAATATATTTAAATAATATGCAAGGTGGAGTTAAATTTTATTTTTTAGGACAGCAGCATGACAGCTTTTGTTGCTTAGCTTGGCTAAAAACATTAAATTGTGAGACAAGCTTCAACAAGGCAGCAGAGTGTCAAGTTGAACATCCAGTTGATTTGGTTATTTGTTTTGATGGTTACTAGCATAGGAATTCCTGCTTCACAAAGATATTTTCTTACAGATACACTTAAACACATTCATAGCTTGCTTTCCAAGGAAAAATACACTTCTTCAACTACAACTACAGTTCTCCAAGACTTAAAATTTAACTCTAGGCATAGTAACTTTTAAAAAAAATTTTTAAAAATTGGTTATTTATTTTTTTAAAGTAAACTCTACCCCCAACATGGGGCTCGAACCCATGACCCCAAGATCAAGAATCACAGACATCTGTGATGTCTACTAAGCCAAGCCAGGCACCCCCAGATATAGTAACTTTTTTTTTATGTTATGTTAATCACCATACATTACATCATTAGTTTCTGATGTAGTGTTCCATGATTCATTGTTTGCGTATAACACCCAGTGCTCCATGCAGAACGTGCCCCCTTTAATACCCATCACCAGGCTAACCCATCCTCCCACCCGCCTCCCCTCTAGAACTCTCAGTTTGTTTTTCAGAGTCCATAGTAGATATAGTAATTTTTTTGTCTTAAGATCAACGAATTCATTAGGAAACAGGACAGGTGAACATAGGGGATGGGAAGAAAAAAATAAGATAAAAACAGAGAGGGAGGCAAACCATAAGAAACTCTGTAACTATACAAAACAAACTGAGGTTTGCTGGAGGGAAGGTGGTGGGGGGGTGGGGTAACTGGGTGATGGGCATTAAGGAAGGCACGCGACGTAATGAGCACTGGGTGTTATATACAACTGATGAATCACTAAATTCTACCCCTGAAACTAATAATACACTATATGTTAACTAAATTGAATTTAAATAAAAATTTTTTTAAAAAAAGATCAATGAAAATAAAATAAAATCTTAAAAAAAAAATTTTTAAAAAAAGGGCGCCTGGGTGGCTCAGATGATTAAGCGTCTGCCTTCGGCTCAGGTCATGATCCTAGGGTCCTGGGATCGAGTCCCACATCGGGCTCCCTGCTCCTTGGGAGCCTGCTTCTCCCTCTGCTTCTCTCTCTGTCTCTCATGAATAAATAAAATAAAATCTTAAAAAAAAAAAAATTTTTTTAAAAAGATCAATGAATTCATCTTTGGCTGAGTCAACATCTTGATATGGTTTATATTAAATAAAAAAAGATTCTGATCCATGATACAACTTTAATACCACCATGATAGAATAAATTTGGAAGAGTTACATCAAACTCCTAGGGTTTGGTGATAGAGGGGTTTATAGATACCCGTTTTCAAGTACACTGACAGAGAACTTTGCAGATAGGAGCTGCTGGAGAGCAGCATAGATGTCTTGGTCCCCAGTGAGAGATCCCATGACTTTTGCTGTTAGTGGCTGAATGACTGTAGGTGCAGAGTTGCGGGGTAGTTGCCCAACTTCATCACATGAGCATCTACAGACAAGAAGACTGTAATCCTGCAGTGTGGTGGCAGTTTATACACCCTTAATTTAAAGTAGTGATGAGTGAAAGCAGTGATATGAAGATGTCTACAACTGTAAAATAACCTGAAATTACCTGATTACTCCTGGCAATAAAGTATAGGTAGTGCCAATATTTGTAGTTTATGGTCTGTATTCATAATCAAAGGAAATGATGGATTTCATTTAGAGGTTAGTAAAAATTAAAATGTGCTTTTTTCCAAGTTAGGGTCACAGGCGCCCCCTGCATTCCACCTGTGTTCTTCTACATGGATCCCAGGTTAAGAATGCCTGGCCTACAAAAAAAATCTGTGGAAAAGCAGGCAAAAGACATGAACAGATAGTTCATAAAAAGATAATTAAAATGGTCCTTAAACATATGAAAAGATGTTCAGTTTCACTTAGGAATGCAAATCAAAAGTCTGCCGAGATGCCATTTCTCACCTGTCAGGCAAAAATTCAAAAGCTTGACAATATACTTTGTTATCAAAGCTACAGTGAAACACACCTTCATCTATTGCTGTGGGAATACAAAATTGTATGGCCCCTGCAGAGGGGAATTTGGCCATATCAAACAAGACTACATTTATATTTATCCTTCAACCCCAAAGTCACACTTCTGGGAGTTTATTCCGATAATGCAGCTCCAATATGAAAATACACATGCACAAGATTATTCAGTGCAGCATTATTTATCATTGTAAAACCACTTTTAAATGTCCAGTCATGGAAATTGGTTGAATGAAGTGTGATGTGTGCATATTAATGGAGTTCTAGGTAGCTGTGAAAAAGAATGAGGAATCAGATCTCTGTGAATTGATAGGGAGAGATTTCTAGGAGCTATTTTTAAGTGGGGGGGGGGGGCAGAAAAGCCGAAATGTAAATTAATATCTATCATAGACTACATTTTATGTAAGGAACTGGGGGAATAAAACACATATGTGTGCTTATTTTTACAAAAAGGAAACATGAAACCTCACGGAGGCAACAGAATTACCCATAAGAGGTAGGGGCAGGGTAGGATGGGGTAGAAGAGTTTCAGGAGGGCATGGCACTTCCCTGAGCATGCCTCTTTGATATAGTTTTGACTTTTGGAAGCATGCTGCTATTTCCCATATTCAAAAAATGAAATCAACAAGGATAGGGGAAGTTAACTGCGGCAGATGAACTGTAATTCAAATGAATAACACAATCACACTGAAGGGGATTTAAAAACTCAAGTGACATATGAATGTAGTATTTGACTATATATTTTTAGTTTTGGATGGAGCTGGGGGAGAAGCATAAACAATTACCAAACTCTTTTTAGTAGGCTTTGCTTTTTGTGATGGCACAGATGAAAACAATTCTGAAACTGTTTTAGGTGTATTGTGCAAGTGTTACTGTCATTTGAGTAAGTGTGTTGCTGTTGGTGGAAGCAGAGTTCTCACTGTGGAAGAGGGGACGTACCAATATGGAATGGGGGAAGGCAAGAAAGAACCCCTATAGGGATGGACTGGAATTGGAGCTATTGGACTCATGATTTCTAAAATGTATATGTGTATATGTGTGTATATGTGTACATATATACGTGTGTGTTTATGTATACATGTATGTATGTCCTAGCTCGGTCTGCAGAGAGGGCCTAGAAGTAAAGACACCCACTAGCAATGAGCATACCAGGGCTCTTCAGAGAAATGGCTGATTCCAGGACAGGGGCAGGGTAAGTACAAAATGAGCTTGGAACATCTAGTGCTCAAAAAAAAAAAAAAAAGTAGGAAGGAAGGAAGAAAATGGAAACTTGTCACAGAGTATAGAACCAGCTTGAAGGGGTTCCCGCTGGCCAGATCTAAGACAGTTTGAGCACCAAAATAATTATGAACAGTAATGAAGCAAAAACCATTGAGAAAATGGGAAGCGCTGAGCACATCCACGTGAGAGAAGAGGAAGAGGAAGAGGAGGGAGAACACTTGCTTCCAGTGGTTTGCTAAATGTCGACTTGTAAGGGTGGAAAGAGTGCAGGCAGGAGAAAATCTTTTTGCAAGCTTCATGGTAAAAATTGGTGCAGGCCAGAATCAATGAATGTTAAATCTAGGGGGTAAATTTTTATTTGTTTATTAGTTGCAAGGAAGAAAGAGTAATGAAATGAAGAAATCCGTAGTACTTTGACCAGATGATCAAGCTTAGTGTCATCGGCGTCTGTTTTCAGTGTGGGCAAATAAGTGCCTATCAGACCAGCCTCCTCACAGATAACTATGAACTCTGGGCAAATTTTTAAAAACCACTACCTAAAGACACAAGAGATGGACCTAAAGCAGGAAAATTCTGGAGGAATAGGATAAGTTTCTGTGTTTACTGCTCTTAAAAAGCAGTCAGTGCCCAGTTGGGGTAGCTAAAACTGTTAGAAAACACGGTCTGTCTGGCCTAAGGAACTAGAGCTCACGGTAACTACAGACACTGGAAAGTGAGGGGAGAGTCTTAGAAAGGAGAAAGACAGAGAAACACAGCCCCAGATTTGATGTATAAACTCGACCCAAGTCTGGTTGAGCCCTGAACCATTCTTTTGTGGGCAGACTCAGCTAAAGATGAAAGAACTGAACTGGGATTTGGGCAGCTGCCCGAAAAAGACCCTTGGCAGTTTAAGCCAAACCAAGTGACTTCAGGCAAAACACAGAATGGACACTCTTTGGAGGCATATAATAGAATCCAGAGTATCCACAAGATAACATTCACAATGTCCAGGATATAATCCAAAATTCACTCTACTAGCAAGCAGCAGATAGACGTACATTCTGTGCCTCTCGACATGACATCCTGAGAAGCAGCACCTGTGTAGTATTCCATTTGAGGATGCATAATCTAAGGCCACATCAGACAAACCCAAAAGGAAGGGATCATTTTTTTTTTTTTAAGATTTTATTTATTTGACAGCACAAGCAGGGGGAGCAGGAGAGGGAGAAGCAGGCTCCTCATTGAGCAGGGAGCCCGACATGGGGCTCCATCCCAGGATCCTGGGATCATGACCTGAGCCACCCAGGCACACCGGAAGGGATCATTCTATTAAAACACAAGAAAGGCTCAGGAAGGGGCATGTATTCTTCAAATCAGTGTCGCAAAAGTCAAAGGCAGAGAAAATGCTCCAGATTAAAAGGGACTAAAGAGATACAACTAAGTGCATATTTGATCCCAGACTGGACCCTTCCTGGGAGGGAAAAATGCTCTGAAAGACTTTCCTGCAGTTAACAAAATTAGAACATGCAAGAGAAATTAGAAAAAAAGTATCAATATTAAATTTACTGAAGTTGATCAGTGTAAGAAAATATCCTTTCTCTTAGGAAATACCCTTTGAAATATCTGGGGAAAAAGAGTTATGATGTATGCAACTTACTTTGAAATGGTACAGGAAAAAAAATATGTGTGTGTCTGTGTGTGTGTGTGGTGTGGATACAGAAAGAACATGAGCACAAATAATGAAGCAAATGGGGCAAAATGTTAGGCAGTAGGTCATTCTGAGAAACGAGTAGTGAGTGTTTTTTGAACATTCTTAAAACTTTTCTGAAGATTTGAAAGATTATTTCAAATTATTATTTCAAAGATTATTTGAAAGATTTGAAATTATTTCCAAATAAAAGGTTTTTTTTTCAAAATTCATTGAACTTAATTAGCCTTTTTAGTCCAAAGATACTTTTTGCTTTGTTAATCTCCTTGCATATACTATTTCTTTTCAGTATTTTTCCATACACTTTTTCTTTTTTAATGGTCTTACATGTATTGGGAAATTGATTTAGGAGTAAATAGTTTTATTTGTGTGCTTTTACCAAATAGCAAATGAGAAGCACCCTCTGGTGGGATGGTGTCTGATTCCAACTGCATTACATAGTTGCTCACAGTGGCCTTTATGACATTTTTGTGATTCTTATCAGTTTCAATTTTAAATACATTTAAAGGCCCATTAGTGCCCTATAATCCTATACAAAGAATTAAAAATAGCATGTGTTCCTTTATTCTTCCTCCTGTTTCATCTCTGAAGTCATTGTTTTTGCTCACTTTTAATCTGGCTTTACCTATTATCTACAGGGTTTTATATATTATTAAGTATCACTAAAAATTGATTTATTAAATTTATGCTGAAGTACAGTCTTTTCCTATAGATTTATAAAAACTGTGTTTTAATTTTAAAGCCTCTAATTTTTATTTAAGATGCTATTTATAACTAGACCACAAGACTCTATAAAGAAAAGTCAAAACAAGGTTGTCACACAGTATAATATGATATTCTTCACAGTTGGGGGCGACATTGAAACATTTGTTTTCTCTGACCAGTTAGGGACTTTAGCTTCCCTTCCTTATAGTGTTCTAATTAGAAGATAATTTTATTTATTTTTACTAAAAAGATAACGTGTTACTTTACTTGTATATGTTTTTTCCACTATAAATCATTCCTTCTGTGCACTGGTTTCCCCCAGAAGATTAAATCCCTTGGAATCTATTTAGCTAATGTCCATCTGTCATTTCATCTGGCATTTTGATGTCCCCATCTTTTAATTTTTATGTTGTTTGGACATTATTTACTTGCTTGTATATTTTCTATTAGAGCAGAAACATTCATGTAATACAGAGAAGTATTTTTTTCCCCTCTCCAATAAGGATTGTTTAAACAGCTATTGGGTTTCTAGTGCTGTGCTACATTCTGTAAGACGTGAAAAAGAAATGGAAAGAAGTGGAAAATTCACTTTTGTGTAGTTTACAGTCAGTCTGGGGATATAAGACCTATTTGAGTGAAAACAGTTGTATATATCTCAGGTGTGATCTAGGACAAGCTTTGAAGTAGCATGTGGAGTCTGTGCATATAGAGCTCTTGGTTTCTAGGCAAGGGGAACCTTTTGAGCTGGAATTAATCTTTGATTCTTTCTTGAGGGAAGTGGTCCAAGAATTAGACTTTGAACAGTGGCTAGGTTTCAGATTGATGAGCTAAGAAGTTAAAGTTCATGCCGAGAATTAAGGCTGAGGGATTTGGGGAAAGGACAATGAGAAGGTTTTGTTAGAAGATGTTAAAGAAACTGGTTTAACTGGATTGAATAGTGAGAAATAAGATGATAAAGAGCTTAAGATTGATAAATTGATAAAGAGCTTAAGAACCCACTTAATAAAGCAGTTTGGACTGAATCTGAAGAGCAGCAGATAACTGGCGTTTTGAAAGAGTGGGGTGATTCAGAGATGAATCCGACAAGGATGTGTAAGATGAGTTAGATTAGGGAGAAGTAAGAGCAGGGGGAAACCAGCTGGGAGCCTATTGCTCATTCAGGTTCAGGTGGATGCAAATTTAGGTTAGGATGGTGGCAATAAAATAGAGAAGGGCAAACATGACAGACATTTTGGTGCTCAAATAAAGATAAAGTTGCAGGAGGCTGGGGAAGAGGGGCAGGTAGGCAGTGATGACGAGATTGGTCTGCAGAGAAGTGCTGAGAGGCCACAGAGCACTTTCCAGTGAGAGCTCCAGGGTTAAGAGGTGTGAGGCAGTTGAAGCAGCAGGGGGTCGGTTACATATTGTCTGTTTAGGGAAGGCTGGAGCAAATGAAAAGTTCCTTCCTGCCCCCTCTTTCAGGACAGGGGAAACTTCTAAGTGTTTAAAGCCAAAGAGAAAAGACAGTCATGGGGAAAATATAATCTACTTTAAGAGCTTTCAAGGAATTCTTCCACCTCCAGGTCAGTGTTCTAGCAGTTTCTGTTTCACATTGCTTCGTGGCTGACTTGCTTATTTTTACTTCAGATCCAGAAACAGCAAGGCCCAGCAATTCCAAAATCACCACCACACTGGGTCTGGTCGTCCATGCTGCAGGTAGGGTTGGATGGCAGTGAGACCCCTTTGTCTTCTGTCCCAGCGTGGGAGGCTTAGTGTGTACATCCCAGGGACCATCCCCATGAACTGCGGAGAGGGTTGCTTCATGAAGTCCTCCAACACAAGCACAAGCCCGGGCGTAGTCAAGTGTCAGGGATTTGCAAGCTAAGAACAATTTTTTATTTTTTTAGTGGAGGAAAATATTTTGTGGCACATGAAAGTTACATGCAATTCAAATTCCAGAGCCTGTAAATAAAGTTTTTTGGAACACAGCCATGCCCAGTTGTTTACATACCATCTGTGGCTGCCTTTGCAAAGCCTGAAATATTTCGTGTCTGGCCCTTTAAGAAAAAATGTGCTGACCTCTGCCCTAAAGCCTCATCTGGAAAAGAGCCTTGACATTGTCCTGAAGAGCCCTGTTGCTCAGTATAAACGCAAAGTGCCTGTTGAGGCAGAGGCGGGCTGTAGAATGCCGAAGGCGCAGCATCGCTGACTGGGCATGCCTTAGAGTCCTAACCAAAGACCAGTCCCAGCAGTACGAGTCTGGAACTGACAAAGGCATGTGGGAGATGGCACACTGTCACTTGGACCTTCCGGTAGAACATGTTTATCTGACAAAAGTTCATCCATTCAGCCAATATTTACTTCTTGTGTATAAGTCATCTATGTAAAGTTGGAGTGTCTTTATTTTGTGTTTTATCATCTACAAGACACAGAGATGCTTACTTTGCAATCTTTGCAATTTCTGTTATAACAGCTGACATATTGAATATTTGGGGCCAGGTGCTAAGCTGTTTATGTATGTTATCTCATTTAACCCTCATGAAAATCCTAAGAATACATATTTCCTTGACCCCATTTTAGAGATGAGAAGGCTAAGGTTCAGAAAAGTTAAGGAACCTTCCCAGAGTCAGATGTAGCTCTCCCTGCCTCTAAAGCCCACACACGAAACTACTACACTATTGTTGTTGTTGTTATAGTATTTTATATTTTATTTTTTCCAAATTTAGCGGATGGTGTGGCCTTAGGAGCAGCAGCCTCTACTTCACAGACTAGCGTCCAGTTAATTGTGTTTGTGGCAATAATGCTACATAAGGTAAGCAGAATTTTAGTGGAAGATTTGATATTGAATATGTTCATAATTCAAATTTCTCTTTGGTCATCGGTATTTTTTTGGAATGGGAAGATTTTTTTAGTTTTTATAATTGACATTCATTTGAGATAGTTGACCAACTCTGTTCATAGCTAGGATTTTTTGCTACTATTTTTTTAAACTTTCACTTGAAGGGACTTTTTTAATGGTCATACAGACAAACTCTTAAATTCTCTACAGATTTCTATATTTTAAAGTAATTTTTGTTCATAAATGTTTTTGTTTTTCTTATACTCTTTTCTTGATTGTCTTTTCCTACTATCTAAGAAACACACACACACACACACAAGTAGGATATTTTCTTAGCTTAGAACATTAATTCCTAAAAGGCAGAACTCAGTCTTGGTACCATGCCTGATTTTTTTTTTTTTTTTTTTGTGAGAATTCAGTCAAATGAACATGTGCTTCATAATATAGAAGCAATCCATACTTTAATTAGGAATACTTTTTCTTTTCCAGGCACCAGCTGCTTTTGGGCTGGTTTCCTTCCTAATGCATGCTGGCCTAGAACGGAATCGAATCAGAAAACACTTACTGGTCTTTGCACTGGCAGCCCCAGTTATGTCCATGGTGACATACTTAGGACTAAGTAAGGTAAGTCTGATCATTCCTAGCTTATCTAGGCAAGTATCTAATTCTTTTGTGATTTACCAGAACCTGTGGTCTTTTATGTTGATTTTTGCAGTTAAGTTACTCCCTCAAACAAAGGTGAAATTACAAGTAAAAGCCAGTACAGTGTAAACATCTTAATTCCAAGGCATTCTCTTCATAAATTTAGAGCATTTTCCTATTCATTCAATTTCAAAATTTCTTCCCCATCAGTTCTGAAAACATTTGCACAGATATATGATCTTTAAAATAGCGTAACTCAAGCCTAACCAAACACACTAATTTTGTTTGACAGATATATAATAAGTCACGACAGTACATATTTAATGTTTAAGCAGGCGCATGAAGAGTGAGGGACAAGCAAACAGCAGTTTTGAGGAGAATAGGGGATGAGCAGAGATGTCTGTATTCTCATATCACCAAATACTAAATATCCAGTTCTTTATCATTGCACTGAACATAATGTCAGACCTGAAGTAACATGTGTCCCTTGTCAGTTCCGAGCCTGGGCATTCTTCCCTGTTGTTCCAGGTGGACCTTTCCCTGCCTTCTAGTTCTGTCCCCTGGGGCTGTAGGTCTTAACAACCCTCCCGGTGGTACTTCAGTGTCAACTGACTGGCCACCGGAGAAAAATCTTAGAACCAAACTGACCCGGGGCTAGTTCATGGGAACTGCTTTCCCCCATACTCTCCCTGAGGGTCATTGATTCTTCTGAGTCACATTCCATTCATAGTTGATACAGTAAAACTTGTATTAAAAGGAACATATGAGAAATGAGGTGGTTAAAACACGATTAAGTTCCTGTTAATCAGGTTTGTTGATCTGGATTGCTAACAAATGAGGTATTATAAAAACCCTCTTTGATCATTCGAAGACTCTTTTCTTCTTCCAGTCAACAAGCAATATATAGTTCCTTTTTAAGTATTAACCCTATTTATCACTTCATTGATCAGTACAAGTCTTTAGAACTTCTGACAGGAAGGTATAATTCTGGAGGCATGGAGTTACATGTTGCATTATGGTGTGTTCTCTTCTTAAAAATTTAATTAATTGTCATAGTCCATAGGTCCACTTTTTTTTTTAATTTAAAGATTTTATTTATTTATTTGACAGAGAGAGAGACAGGAGAGAGGGAATACAGCAGGGGGAGTGGGAGAGGGAGAAGCAGGCTTCCCGCTGAGCATGGAGCCCAATGCGGGGCTCGATCCCCCAATGCGGGGCTCGATCCCACTGAGCATGGAGCCCAATGCGGGGCTCGAATGCCTTGGAATCCCATAGTTTAGAGGCTCTGCCACTTCCTGCTGAGCATGGAGCCCAATGCGGGGATCATGACCTGAGCTGAAGGCAGCCGCTTAACCGACTGAGCCACCCAGGTGCCCCAATAGGTCCACTTTTTTAATAGAAAAAGTTGAAATTAATTGTGTCAAGATTAGCTTATAAGATGTTTCTGCCTCTGTGAGGGCAGGTACTGCATCTCGATTCCCACTGTATCTCAAGCACCAGCCTAGAGCCTGGTGTATGGGGATGTTTGTTAAATGTTAGTAGAATAAATGAATGTATGAAATTTAATACTTGCATTAATAATGCCGTTGATTCCATTGTAAGAATAATAAATGCCAGACCTGTTCAACCAGACTTGAAGTTTGTTTGAAAAAGCAATTGTGCACGTCATCAATAGTCTTAAATTTGGAAGCTTCTCATCAATAACAAAATTGCTCTGATCTCAAGATGTCCCCAGTGTCCCATATCGGACCAGTTGTGAACATTGTTGTTTTTTTTTAATCAGGACTTCTTCCTGACCCTGAATTTTACTTGTCTTAATTTTTCTTCTTTCTCTCTCTCTCTCCCTCCCTCTCTCTCTCTCTCTCTCTCTCTTCATTCACAGAGCAGTAAAGAAGCCCTTTCAGAGGTCAATGCCACTGGAGTGGCCATGCTTTTCTCTGCCGGGACATTTCTTTATGTTGCCACAGTACATGTCCTCCCTGAGGTGGGTGGAATGGGGCACAGCCACAGACCCGACCCCACTGGCGGGAGGGGCCTCAGCCGCCTGGAGGTGGCCGCCCTGGTTCTGGGTTGCCTCATCCCGCTCATCCTGTCAGTAGGACACCAGCATTAAAGGTCGGATTCGGGCCTCAGGCCACAGCTGTTCGCCATCCCGTGAGAACAGCCAGCACGTGACAGCTGCTCACTTCCTCAGTCTCTTGTCTCACCTTGCCCCATCTCCACCTGTGTTCCTAGAGTCCGGAGGGAGGTGAGATTAAAACCTGGAGTAATGGAAAGCTTTTAGAGTAGAAACAACACACTGTGACTGGATAGAGACATTCCGTTGTGTTGTTTTTTTAAAGGGCCCTTGGCATTTTGAGTTTTGATGTTTCTCTTAACCCTATGCTCAGGGAAGATGGAATTTCATTTTAAGGAAAAGTGGAGAACTTCATACTCACAATGAAAAAGTAATTATGAAAGTATAGTGTTCTGTAATTAAGCTGGATCTCTGTCTTAGTTTAGAGGCTCTGCCACTTACTTTATCCATTGATTTTTAACATGGTTCTCACCGTGTAAGACTGGTGCTTTAGCGTCTGTGCCACACGCCTTGATAAAGGTCATCATGCCCACTGTCTTAGATGCTAAAGACAATTGTAGTTTATTTGGGGCAAGAGTCAGGAAAATGACAGCAAGGCACATGAAAAGCTGACTTTTTACTCGAGAGCTGTCCGTTGAAAAGAGGCTGTCTTGGAGAGACTTAACACCTCCTTTCGCGTCCGCCTCTTCCTCTTTAAAGAGAGCCCGCTGTTCATCAGTGGAGCAACAGAGATGGACTAGCATCGAAGGAGGAGGCCACTAGTATTTCTTCTCAAGTTCTCCTTTGCAGAGTACCTGCCTCCAGTGCAAAGGAGCCAAGTTCTGGTAGGTTCAGGCCCACTCAGGCTTTCCTTCAAAAACAGTCAGATCCCAAAGTGTCTTTTGAAATGAAGGGATGTTAATTTCAAGTAAGTTTGGATAGTAAGTGACGTTTTTGTCATAATCTTTTTAAAAGTAAGATAACCAAAACCCTGTGTTGTCCCTTTTTTTCTTTTTACGTATTTATCTTAGCAGACTAGCAGTCCCTCTGGCAAAATACTTGGTGTCCTTTGGAGAGTGCTAGGTCAGCGTCACATAAGCACCTGTAGCAGTGAAGAGAGTCAAGATGTAGGACAAGTGAGAAGTGTTTGCCTCTTGATTTAAAGCTTATTGAAATCATGTCTCTTGTCTCTTCATCTTTTCCGTGCTTTCCTCCTGACCGCTCCCCCCCCAGCCCCTCCTCCCTATCTATAATTTGCTGCTTACTGCGGGTGGCGATGTTGGTATCTGTGTGAATTGAATTCTCATCAGGACAACCACTTCTTGAACTGTGATGATGAAGATAACATTGTCTCTGTTCTTTATTCCCTTCAATGAAGTTACCTTTGTGTCAAATGCAACTTTGTTAACCCCTTAAAATATCACTTCCTCATATGTGAGATGACACAATCACTAATGTTCTGGTCATTTAAACAGTTCAGATAGTAAAAGTGTTTAACAAACTGGGATGATTTTTCCATATTTGCCAAATCCCTGTAAACTTTCTGTTATCAACTAAGTGTATAATAGTATGTTATTAATTTATTTTGATCTTCTGTACCATTTCAAAACACATTATATAAAGAGGGAACCAAGATTATGTTCTTCAGGGCAGTGGGTTTAGGAGTTCGTAAAATGTCTTATATGACGTATATACCAGCATGCCTATAATTTCTTTATTTCCTTCCTGGATTTGTCACTGGGTCAGCAGCTATGGAAACAGAACTTGCGAGCCCTCTGCCGGCCGTAGACCAAAGTAGCATAAATAGGATAGGGTTTTCTATAGTGGCTGGCAACCATTGCATACGATTTGTTAAAACCAACAGAAGGCACAGTCTGGAAAGTCTGAGTGACTTTCCTGATAACAGCTCTGACTTATGGGAGTCATGGGGCTTCGTCTGGCCCTTCGAGATGTCATGGTTGCCTTGATTCTCCCTGGAAATTTACTTTGTTAATAAATAGTACATCTTAGTGTCTGGTTTGGTTTGGGTAGCAGCACTTCCTATCATACTGTTGCGTGCAATCATGAGAAATTCGTTCTGCTGGCCGAAGCCTCTTTCAGCAGTGCTTTGCCATCATTAAAAGTTTGGCTAGAATATCTTGCTTGGTGGGGGGGCCTTGAACTCTGGCAAGGACTGAACCATCAAACTTCCAAATTTGCGTTCCCCTCTGGACCTCGCGTTAACAAGCAGACCTTGCAAGGCCTACCAGCTTTTGGGAGCTGCGGGCTTTCCCAGATTTTAAAGCTGCTGCCTCAGGAGCTACTCATTTCTCTCCTGGTCAGCAGGCAGAAATAGCCATACTAACCTTAGAGGGCTCAAACGCACCTCTAGGCAGCAGGGGACCGAGCAGCATGGCAGAGGCCTTCTTCACTGGGGGAGGAACTTGCTCGTGCTGGGCAGTGTCCCAGAAGGGGCCACAGTGGTGGTCACTTACTGGCACATTTCAGTTCTGTTTTCCTCTTGTGTTCACTGCCTCCTTAGATGTAGATGCCTTAATGCTCTCATGCATTTGGAAACATTGGCCATACTTAAGTTGCTGCCATGATCACAGATGGAATTATTGGCTACCAAAGAGATGCACCTGATGATGAAGAGTACAGCCCTTCCTTCCTCATAACCAAAGTTAGTCTTCATTGCAATTTGACTCCATTTCCTTGGTAGGGACAGATTTCTTCAGATTCCGAATGTACTCTTAAATGGCAAATGAAGGTGGAAAACGCTACTGGTCCATTCCCCTCCCTTGTTTTCCAGCGAGTTGCGTATCAGTCCCCATTTCCCCGAAGCAGCGCTGTTCTAGGGCTGGCTGCTTTCCTGTGCATGCTGTTGCCAGATTTTTTTAGGCAGAGGCTCTGCACTGGAGTGTAGAGAGTTGGAAACAGTTCCATCAACAGAGGCTACGTGTTCTCTCTTCCCCCTATCACTTTTCTATCACCTATTCAAAACAGTTGAGTCAGCCCTGTTCTTGTATTTTGAATCATTAGAGAAAGGACAGAGGTGGTCGTTTCGCAGGGTCAGTTCTTTGCACAGAGGAGACGATGAAATTGTGTTTTTTACCAGCCTACTTCTAAGTGTCACTGCCTGGTTTTTCTCTTTTTCAAGGATTAGAACTAGAAGGACACACCAGCATTGGAGTATTATGCCCCTCAGACCCATGGTAACTAGATACTAAACAGGGGAGCTGTCTACCAACAGCCCAGACCTCCAGAAAATTTCTTGCCTACAGGGCCTCTGGGCCCCTTGAGAGACTGGAGAATATTGACCAGATTCTTCCCAAACTGCTGCAGTGGAAGGTGATCTACAGGAGAACCATCCTTCCATTAGAAAATTTCTACTCAAAACAGAGTGATCCCAAGAGCACTGTTGGGGATGCTATGAAAATAAAACCAATGATGGAGCTCTACCCCCCCCTGCTTTGTACCTGAGACATCTAGATTAACCCCAGGAGATTTGAGGGGAATTTGTGACTTGTAGGAAAAGACTAGACAACCATTGGGAATTCTCTAGATATGCTCATCCGAACGCAAGGAAATTGGCTTTGATCTTTTTTCTGATAGCATCTTCTAGCAAGTTGGAAGTCTCATGGGATAAAACTGCAGTTCCCCTGGTTCAGTAGTCCAAACAGTGATTTTAAATGTCCCCTTTTCTGGATCCTTTGTAAACATGAAATCATTCCATGGATGGCTGCCTTATAATTTTGTCTCTTTCCACGTTAATTGTGAATGGTTAAACAATTTTTTTTGCTGTTTTCTGATTTGTTTTATGATATTAAATTTTTATTAGCGGATACCTTATGTGAATGGCTCATTACTTAATCTCTTGGCAGTTTGCTTTTCTGTTTGACGACTAGACTTGACCCACATTTGAACATCAGCAAAGGTAATGAAAAGCTTTCAAGGGCAGGGGAAAGATGAGCTCACTATATGCAAATCTTTTAGGGAAGGAGGGAAGCAAAGGAGGAAGGGAGATGAAGGACACAATACAGCACGTGTCCCAAAAAATACTAATTCGTTGACTTTTATTTTGCTTTGCCATCGGTGTTAAGAAATATTTATGAAGGTAGTGTACTCCAGAAAAGAGAAGCAAGCAATAGACCCCGATCACAGTGGTTCAGTCAAAGGGCAGAGTTGCTCTAGGAGTATATAGAGGCTGTGAACACCTGACCCTAAAAATAGAGATTTTAATAGAAGTGCAGTTTGTACATTTGTTTCTAACTCCTGTAAGTTAGGGCAGCATCCTACAGTGTAGTTTTATAATGTCAGAAATAAGCGGCCTTGTGTCCCATCACTGTGTCTAAAACGCCCTTCCGCAGCCCCCTTGCCTCCTCCCAGCCTTGATCTAAAGTCTCCTTCAGTTAGGCCTCCTGTGACCACCCTATTTAAAACTAATCTGCCCCACCTTGCCCCAGTGCTCCTTACCTTGTTCTCTTCTTTCTTTTTCTGTAGCACTGGTCACCTTTTAATCTGCTTTATAATATATATATATCCTTACTTTGTCCTTCCCTACTAAAACATAAGCTCCAGGAAGCTAGGTTCTCAATATACTATGTGTGGCTAAGTGAATTGCTGTGGCCTGAGGGGGCACTTCCTGATCCGCGGCACTAATCTAGCCCTGCCCTAAGCCCCGGCAGGACCAGCTGCTGGCCGTGCGTCTAGCTCCGCCCGCACCCAACTGAGGTGAGGAGTCTGCACACGGGGCTGAGGGTACAGGTGGGAAATTAACTGGGTTTGGGTTCCTAATCCACGACCAGCTAACTTTAGTAAGGGACTGTGTGACTGATTGAGGGACCTGAACATCTGGATCCCTTTTCTGGCTCCACTGCTGATTTCTGTTGCAATGTTAGCCATTGCCCAGTTTTCTAAACTTGGGTAGGAATGTGAGGGGAGACCTGTCCCATTCTGACTGCCTTCTTTATGGAGGGACCCTGACAAATACAAGAGCCATCAGAGGAGGGAGCCCAGTGGAGACAGGATGAGAAGCCAGAGCGTTTGAGGAGGTGTGAAAGGAACTGAATGTTTGCCTTCATCTGGAATGTTCTTGGGGGGCAGAACTTGATGACCACCATCAGATACTTCAAGGGCTGTCAAATGTATGAGAGCACAGAACTTATTTTATCCAGAAGGTGGAATGGGAGGTAAGCTGAGCCCTACCTCTTCTCCACTTACCTCTTCATTCAGCAGCGTTAACTCAGCACTGAGCCCTTCCTACAGACCGGACACTCGTAGGTGCTGAGTGTTCAAAAGGGAGTAGGGGTCACTTCCAGGCCGTAAAGAGCTTGTGGTTCCGAGAGGGATTCAAACAAGGACACAGTTGCCAGTAGCACTGGGAGGCAGGCACGGGGTGCTCGGGGAACGCATGGGGGCAAGGAACCCAGAGCGAGGCGTCAGGGACAACATCCAGAGGGAGAGGAGGCCTGCGTGAATCAACGGTGGAGCAGTCGGGAACGGTCCTCTGAGCAGGAGGACCTCCATGGCAAAGGCCTGGTGGCACAGGAGAGAGAATGCAGACTCTGCGTAGAAGGTGCCACGGACTGGCTGAAGGACGGGGAGGCACCAACAGATGGTGTGTGAGATGTGTCCATTCCCTAGGTGACGTCTGTGCTTCCAGATTTAAAATGGCACAGATAATTGGGCCTAGCCAGGGTCTCCGTGCTTCCTGCCTCACCGGCAGCCTTCCCAGGTGCGGTCCCGGCTGACCTCTGGACTTCCTGTCATCACTCGGATGATTCGGGGACGTGGTAGTCCAGAGATCCTTGTGCTCCAGGGGCTCCTATGGCCCCTCAAGGTGGAGCTTGGGGACTTTTTTCCTCCCTTATCCCTGCTTGTCTCCCCCACTTCCTGGCTGGGGCCCAAAAACCCCCTCCTCATCCCACTTGCAAACAGCTGTGTTAGTTATGGTTATGTACAGAGGGCCAGGTGGGAGCTCAGTCTTCCTTCTAGCCTTTGGTTCTCCCTCTCCAAAACTCCTCTGCCCCCTGCGCTCCGGTTTCCCTAAGGGCACATATCGTGGAACACGGCAGCTCTATGGCCACCCTCCACCTCTGAGCTGTCCAGGCCCTGTGTGAAGGCGGCGGTGGGAGTGGGAGGGGCAAGCATGAGAGTAGACCCTCCCTCTGTTCTCTTCTGCCCCTGACTTTGCCCTGCTCGGTATTTGGGGAAGCCAGGAAAGAACATCTACTATTTGGACCTGGAGAAAACATTCTAAGGGTAGTGCGACGCTGAGAGTTGGCAGGGCCCCTTTTTGATATATGAAGCTGCGAGGGTTTCAAAGAAACTTGCCCAAGGTCTTTAATCAAGTAAAGGTGGAACCCCTGGCACCTGATCCAGTGAATTGCTAATTCGGTTCCGGATAAAAAACCAGCCCCCTGGCTCTTCCTCAGACGTTCTGGGAGAGTGTGTGGGATTGTAACAAAAATGGCTTTGGGTCTCTGGGCCAGACTGAACACATCCCTCTCCCCCAGTGAAATGTACTTGCTCTTAGAAGCCAAATTAAGGTATACATTTCAACCCACACATCAGCCACGAGGGGGAGCACTGGACACCTTCAGTGTTTCTGAGCAGTGTGCCGCCCCCAGCCGTGGCCTTGGATGCCACGGGACTGTCTTAGTGCCGTGAAGCAGCGGGCTGACTGGCAGGGCAGTAAGGTCCTTGGGTCGACCTCGGCAACCTTGGGTGTGAGCAGTCATCAGGCAGAGAGAGGGCAGAAGCCTAGCAAGGGGTTGACCCTGCTGATGAGAACAGACTATCTCATCTAATGCAAGAATCTTCCAGCCCAGGGCATCTCAAATGCAGGACTGACTCTCCTTTGGCCCCCTCAGCCCCTTCACTTGGCCTGCTGGCTTCGAACGTGCATGCGGTGCCCTGTACCCCACTTCCCCTCCCTCCTGGGTTCCCCTGGGAGGCAGCCAAGCCCTTGCAGGTAAAGGAGCCTAAGACCCATGTTTGGCCTTAGAAAATGCAGTCAAAGTGGAACACAATTCAATAAAAAGAGATAGGTGGTTTAAACCTCAGAAGGGGAGGAGGGCATAGCATCACAAAAGTGATGTCATCTGAGCTGAATCTTGCCATCGGATTTTTGGGGAGATGAGAGGAGAAGCACTCTGGACTGAGGGCACAGCAAGTAAAAAGGGGCTGTGAAAGTTTGGTAGCTCCTCGGAATATCAGACCCGGCGTGGCTGGGGCAGAATTGGGGGGTGGGGGGAGAGAAGGGGGAGCGCAGACAATAGGGTGGGACGAAGGAATGGGATCCAGTGGGGCTGAGAGAACACTGAGGCCCAGAGATGCTCGGTGATTGTCCTCAGTTCACACAACTGATAGCAGGGCCTGGATTTAAACCCCTCTTAACACTAAAAGCAGGCGACAAGTCTGCCATCTCCAGATTGCTTTCTCCTACATTCTCCACCACACCACAGGTCCTGGTTTATTCTCACAAGGGAAAGCTGAGGCCCCGAGGGGTTGGCATCCATTTGATGTGCAAACAAGAAATTGCAGCACCTGAATGGGGCCAAGTGAAGACAAATCGATTCAGTAAGCGTTTGTTGAGCACCTACTACAGGCCCTGGACTCTGTCCTCAAGGAGCTCACAGTCTGGAAGGGATGCAAACACAGAGAGGAAAACTCCAAACGAGGCAGACAGACCTGTACTAGAACGGGAGGAGGGGCAAAGGTCCATGGGAGCCAAGCAAAGATAACCCGAGTGATGGTGGTGCAGTTTTAGCCGAATCAGTGCCACACCCTGTGGAATCCAGGACAGGAACCCCAATGGTGGAATTGGGGTTGCAGGAGGGAAAGAGATTCCATGAGAGAGATTTGATGCTGTAGGAGGGCCTGGTCTACAGCCCAGATCTTTTCTGCTTCTTCTGCTTCTTGGCCCCATCGGGATGCTTGTGCTGGGTCCAACCAGCAGCCTGACGCCAATGCCAGGGCAGCCCAGGGAACCAAAAAGAGGCACATTCCTGGGTCCTTCACTTGGCACCAGCCTGGCCCGCCTGCCCGAGAGTGGGGTCAGGACAAAGAGGGCTGGGAGCTGAAGAGGCGGCACTATGGGAAGATCTGTTCTTGTCCTGGTTGCTGGGAGCTTTTGAGGCCCGATCAGGATGTGACTCCAGGGAGATCCTCGTTACCCCTTCCCAGTCTGAGAATGTCTTCCTGCCCGTTCCTGACTAGAGTGGGTTAAGGAAGACTCTGGCTCACTCTAGCTGAAGTGTAGGATCAGTGAGCTGGATCCCAGTCAGTATTCACACATTTCCTTACCATGGGCCAGTCACGTGTCATGGCTGTGCTTATACCTGTTTCATGGAACAGTGGTGACTATCACATGAGCCCGCAGACTCTGGATAAAAGCAACATCATGGTAATGTATGTTCTTTCATACAGCAAAGGAAATCAGAATGAAAAGGCAACCTAAGGAATGGGGGAAGATATTTGCAAACCATATATATGGTAAGAGTTAATATCCAAAATATATAAGGAACTCCTATAACTCAGTATAACCTGATCAAAAAAATGGACAAAGGATGGAATAGATATATTAGTACCAAGATAAGGCTATTAGTATGGGTGTGAACTGAGATGCTTATGTACAATATAAACACGCCCTCTGGTGATTTTAAGGGGCAAAATAGATGGTATAATCCCCCAGGGAAAATGCCTAAGCCAGAGATGGTATTGGCTCATGAGGACCAAACCACTACCGTGTTGTTACTAAATGAAGATTTACCAAAAGACACCAAAAGCAAAAGCAAAATAAACGGGTGGGACTACATTAAACCAAAAATCTGCACAGCAA